AGGGCGGGAGGGATAAGCATGATCTGCAATCCTTAGTTACAGAACCATTATTTATATGTGAATGACGGCTCTTAAATGCCACAATAAACTTTCACACCATCAAGAATCTAAGAAGTCAAAAGAGTTCATTAAGAGAATAACCAATGGAGAATTAAGTATCATCATGAGACAAACATCAAGTTGAACACCAATGAACGAAGCACACCTGTAACACCTTCTGTGCCTCCCTGTACTGAATTATCTCTTGTATTTATTTAGGATAATTATTTATAGAGCCCTCTGATAACCATACCTGGCCCTCTGTTAACCATACCTGGCCCTCTGTTAACCATACCTGGCCCTCTGATAACCATACCTGGCCCTCTGTTAACCATACCTGGCCCTCTGCATATAACATACCTGGCCCTCTGTTAACCATACCTGGCCTCTGATGCCTCTGATAACCATACCTGGCCCTCTGATAACCATACCTGGCCCTGTTAACCATACCTGGCCTCTGATAACCATACCTGGCCCTCTGATAACCATACCTGGCCCTCTGTTAACCATACCTGGCCCTCTGATAACCATACCTGGCCCTCTGATAACCATACCTGGCCTCTGATAACCATACCTGGCCCTCTGTTAACCATACTGGCCCTCTGATAACCATACCTGGCCCTCTGATACCTGGCTGATAACCATACCTGGCCCTCTGATAACCATACCTGGCCTCTGATAACATACCTGGCCTCTGATAACCATACCTGGCCCTCTGATAACCATACCTGGCCCTCTGATAACCATACCTGGCCCTCTGTTAACCATACCTGGCCCTCTGATAACAATACCGGCCCTCTGATAACCATACCTGGCCCTCCCATCTGATAACCATACCTGGCATACCTGGCCTCTGCATACCTGGCCCTCTGATAACCATACCTGGCCCTCTGATAACCATACCTGGCCTCTGATAACCATACCTGGCCCTCTGATAACCATACCTGGCCCTCTGGCACCTGGCCCTCTGATAACCATACCTGGCCTCTGATAACCATACCTGGCCTCTGATAACCATACCTGGCCCTCTGATAACCATACTGCACCATATAACATACCTGGCCCTCTGATAACCATACCTGGCCTCTGATAACCATACCTGGCCCTCTGTTAACCATACCTGGCCTCTGATAACCATATCTGGCCCTCTGATAACCATACCTGGCCCTCTGATAACCTGGCCCTCTGATAACCATACCCATATGGCCTCTGATAACCATACTGGCCCTCTGTTAACCATACCTGGCCCTCTGATAACCATACCTGGCCCTCTGATAACCATACCTGGCCCTCTGATAACATACCTGGCCCTCTACCATACCTGGCCCTCTGTTAACCATACCTGGCCCTCTGATAACCATACCTGGCCCTCTGATAACCATACCTGGCCCTCTGATAACCATACCTGGCCCTCTGATAACCATACCTGCCTCTGTTAACCATACCTGGCCTCTGATAACCATACCTGGCCCTCTGATAACCATACTCTCTGATAACCATACCTGGCCCTGATAACCATACCTGGCCCTCTGATAACCCATACCTGGCCCTCTGATAACCATACCTGGCCCTCTGATAACCATACCTCCTCTGATAACCATATACCTGGCCCTCTGATAACTACCTGGCCCTCTGATAACCATACCTGGCCCTCTGTGATAACCATACCTGGCCCTCTGATAACCATACCTGGCCCTCTGATAACCATACCTGGCCCTCTGATAACCATACCTGGCCCTCTGATAACCATACCTGGCCCTCTGTTAACCATACCTGGCCCTCTGATAACCATACCTGGCCCTCTGTTAACCATACCTGGCCCTCTGATAACCATACCTGGCCCTCTGATTAGGTTAGCCGAAGGATGTTTATTTATCAGGTGAAATAAACTGGATGCTTAATCTTCAGAGATATAATTCTGGTCCGCCACCCATCAACACATCACTTTTCAGATATTGTTGTGACTACAGTCGTCGCAAAAGTGGTCAGCTGTGTTTACTCGGTAGTAGGAATAGTTCACTAACGTAAGTGATGTTAACTTTGAAAATAACTTTGTTTTATTTTACTTTATTTCATCCTCTTAGCCACTGACCGGCTTGTTAGCCGCTTGGACGATCTGTTACGTCTCTGTTACGCACTGTTAACAAGTACTGGACATGTACTGGCTCCAGAATGGATCTGAACCTGCACCGAGCTAACTCTTGGTGCTGTCACAACACTCTCTGGCAGGTTATTCCAAGAGTTCACAACACTCACTCAAAAAAAAGTTGCCTGGACAGTTTTCTGAACTTGTGCCATTTGGTGGGACGGAGTACTTATAGGCTTATATTAAGTCATCCTTTGCCCATGGTTACCACTGAACTACCAACACCCCTAATGTTATGATCCCTGTAATCTCCACGAACCATTATTACAAAAAGAGTTCACCTTGCTGCCAGCCATCAGTCTCTCTCGTTGGATGATGTACCCATATAATAGAAATCCTTCGGCATATGTGAATAAGAATTTTTAGATATATCATTAACAATAATAAGTTACTTATAAGAAGTGTGTGAACGAGCGCTAAATAATATATTTTCATACTGACAAATATAAGTAAAATGTAAGCCCAAGACCATCAAGCCAGTGCATGCTCAGTACTTAAGAGTTACGATGCAACACAACACTGACCCACATTGTGTTCACAGAAGAGATTATAAGAGTCCCGGACCGGACATGGTGCACCCCAGAGTGCTGAGGGAGTTGTGCAACGAGCTAGCTGAGCCCCTGAAGATCCTGTTCTGTAAATGCCTGGATTAACAAAAAGTCCCTAGTAATTGGAAAATGCCTTATGTGAGTCCTATTTTCAAGAAGGGTGATCGTCACTCCACGAATAACTATAGACCAGTGTGCCAAACAAGCATAAAATGTAAAGTACTTGAGAGCATTATAAGAGATGACATGATGGAACATCTACTACGAAACAACCTTGTAAAGGATTGCCAACACGGTTTTATGCCGGGACCCTCCTACTTGGCACAATTACTCAGGGTAATGGAAATTTGGACTCAGGGTGGTAATATCGACAATATTGATTTAGATTTTGCCAAGGCTTTTGACAGTGTACCCCAAGAAAGGCTGAAAATTAAACTGGAAGGGTACGGGATTCGGGAAAATGTCCTAGAGTGGGTAGAAGACTTTTTACATGATCGCAAGCAGTGTGTGGTGATTAATGGCACGAAATCATCATTCGTACCTGTCAAAAGCGGGGTACCACAGGGCAGTGTATTGGACCCGCTGCTGTTTGTTTGCTTCATAAATGACATGCCGGACGCTATATACTCCTCCATACAAATGTTTGCGGACGACGCCAGGTTATTTCGGGAAATTAAGAACCAAGCGGACTGTGAAGAGCTGCAGAAGAATCTCTGTGAGCTTCAAGAATGGTCGAAGAAATGGCTGCTAAGATATAATGTCACGAAGTGTAAGAGGATGCGCCTGTGACGTACCAACGGTAAGGAGGCGTATCATATGTCCCAACGGGACGAAGAGACTGCATTAAATGAGGCGGAATGTGAAAAGGACCTATGTGTGTACGTTGGCAATGAATTGAAGTTCTCGGACCATTGCGAGAAGAAGGTAAATTAGGCAACTAAGTTATAAGGTCTTATAAGAAGGTCGTTTAGATATCTAGATGGTCCGTCCCTCGCAACGATCTTCAAGAGTGAAGTGCTTCCCCATCTGGAGTACTGTCACCCCGTCTGGTCCCCGAGATATGCCAGGGACTGTCAGCTGATTGCAAATGTCCAAAGAAGGGCCACCAGATTGGTTCCTGCACTGCGGCACTTCAGCTACCTGGAGAGATTGGAGCGCCTGAACTTGCCTAGCTTATACTACAGATGGGCAAGGGGAGATCTGATTGAGATGTACAAGCATCTCAAAGGGCACTACTCAGTCGAGTGTCCTTACCTGGAGCTGGCGGACAGTCGCCCCACAAATGGACTCGGCTCAAGGTTAAAGAAGCCGCAAGTCCGGAAAACTGTGAGGGGTAACTTTTTCGGAGTGAGAGTTGTGAACTCTTGGAACAATCTGCCAGAAAGTGTTGTGACGGCACCGAATGTGAGCTCCTTTAAGACCAGACTTGACCAACACTGGAGCAGGTTCAGGTACTAGCAGGAGCGAGTGCATGCCCAGTACTTGCCAACAGTGCGTAACATAGACGTAACCGATCGCCCAAGCGGCTAACGAGCAGATCAGTGGTGAAGGGGATAAAAGTAAAAAAAAAGTAACAGTGCATAACAGAGACGTGACTGACTGCCCAAGAAGCTGACAGGGGTAACCTGTCGTCGATCAGTGGCGAAGAGCATCACTGATTAGCGATTCAGCTAACCAAACAATACATACCTATTGCCTCTGAATGATTGTGACAAATGAATATCGATTAAGTCTGTCTTGTATTATACTGTACAGTATACCGGACTTCACGGTTTTAAAGCTTTTCCTTTCCAGCAACGTAAACGATGTAAGATACTATTGTAGCACCAGCTCGGTAGACCTCATACTTTAGTACTATAGCACTTACAGGTAAATCACACTCAAGTATAACAATCAGTTTTTTATTTTTGTAATTAAGAATGTATATGCGAAAATCATTTATATTTGTGAGATGATTTAGTAACTTATTTTGAATAATGCTCATAAAATACCAAAAATATTCACAATCAAACCATCTTAGGAATATAATAAAAAATGTAAATATTTATATATAGACTCCCTTAAACTTGTTATCGTTCGCATAAAATAGTAACTAACTTATGACGTCATTGATGCGTCACTCGAGTAATTGTTGATCTCTATATTCAGAAACCATTGGTAACACTGCCAGCTGATAGGAGACTTTATTGTTTGAAATGTTTTTAATTTTTTTATTTATAAATATATGTATTCAGACTTATGACAAAAAAACAGAAGTTTTATATATATTTACGGGGACCATTGGATACCGACGACGTCATGTGACAGCTCCAACACGACTCCTGTACGTGGACACTATTGACACAATTGCTCAACTACTCCAACAACTATTATGTCCTTCAGCCCTCCCCACCTGGACCTAGAGAGAACCTTAGCATCTGTTCTATCGTTGTTTTATCAAGAGTATTTTGATCTCCTCACCTGAGTGTGTGTTGCTACGGTAAGTGACGTTATCAGCTTATTGTCCACAGTTAAGTATCAGGGAGCTTCATAATATTTATTTTTGATTCTCTTAGATTTTACAAAATACATAAAATGGTAGTTGTTGAGAATGGCTTTGCTTGTTAAATAAAGTTATTTGGTAATTAAATAAATTTTTACTTACGGACATGAATCCCTAGCGGTCTGACTAATTACACAAATGTAGCCAAATGTAGCCGCAATGAAGTCAAATAATGGTCCTAGATGAATAAATCGGACTGCCAATCACTTCTCGACTAGTATTTGGTGTCACAAAGTCACAAAAAATTGGTAAACTTACTTTAATCTGAGTTAATAGATCAAGTGCATGTACCTAACCTAACCTAACCTAACCTAATCTAACCTAACCTAACACAACTCAGATTAAATTAAGTTTACCAATTTTTTTTTTACTTTATGACACCAAATAATAATCGAGAAGTGATTCACAGCCCGAATTACGCTTGTACGACCATCATTTGAATTCATTGCGGCTACATTTGGGTAATTCCTCGCTCCGTCGGTACATGCACGCGATCTATTAACTCAGATTAAAGTAAGTTTACCAATTTTTTGTGACTTTGTGACACCAAATACTAGTCGAGAAGTGATTAGCAGTCCGATTTATTCATCTAGGACCATTATTTGACTTCATTCCGGCTATATTTGGGTACATTTGTGTAATTAGTCGGACCCATCCCTAGGGGTTAACATATGTTTTTCTAGTGTATTTTTTTGTGTTTTAAACGAATATGACCTTCATTTTGGGTGGAAATTGATATCCCCCCCCCCCACCCCCCTTCCTCACCCAACGGTAATGGGGGAAACCTGGGAAATCGGGGTTTTGGGTGGGGAAGAACACGAAAACTGGTCATCTTACCTAACCAAACCTAACCTAACATAACCTTTGGGTCACGCCATGTCCGAAAGTACAATACCTTAGTTAAATCCGAGATCACGTATCTACAAATTTTCGTTTTTATCTTCTTTACAATGCTTCTTGGCCAATTACAAAACCACTGATGCTTGTCCTTTCTAAATTTGCAGTGCGGGCACTCAACAAACAAAGGGAGAACACCTTGATTACATTGAAATTCTATAGCTTTATCGTCTTTTTCGTAAAACGCAGCACGATTGACACCCAACCTCGACCACGGCCATTGTCACACTGATTGAATTTCCAAGCCGTAGATTTGCAAATCCTTACCCAAGCTGCTTTGAAAAATGCAAATGTGATTGGTCAAAAATAATTCCCAGTTGATATCGATACATCATTGGTCACGACTGGATGACGTCAGTCAATATTGCACCTGCGTGATCCACAACTAACTCGGTTTCACGGTGGTAACATCTCCTGACAGACGAAGACTGAAAAGTTCCTAAAATCAATTAAATTCAATTGTGTCGCTATTATCCGTTTCCACCATGTATATATGGGGCTTAAGATGCTCAGAATAGGGAGATCTAAATGTTTAAGTAGCTTATAACTTTCGGATGTGCTATGACCAAAAGTAAAGTAATACCAGTAATTATATAGGACTAACCAATAAACGAAATTTATTAAAAAAAAATTATGAAAACACTGGATTTTCACTGTTATATTAAAGTGGACACTGTTTTAGTTTGTGGAAATACAGCTGCTCCTCGACTTACGACGGGGTTAGGGACCCAAATCCAGGTCGTAAGTCGAATTGGTCGTAAGTCGAAAATGCTTAAATAATACATAGAAAATCTAAAATGTGTGTCTCTTTTTCTTCTCGGCACCACAAAACTCTCACTTTTAAGCTTGCCAGCCATTTTAAAGTGAATTACAAACGAAAATTTTGTCAGTACACAGCGCAATCACTAACGTTGGGACTCGAAAATACGTAATTTGACAAAATTTTGGTACGACTGAAGCGGTCGTATGTCCGGGTGGTCGTAGGTAGAGTATGTCATGAGTCGAGGAGTGGCTGTATGTTAAAAATTGGATATTTTAAAAATAAACATTACTTAACATTTGTGGGTATGAAAAACAGACATAACCAAACAAACCTAACCTAACCTTACCTAACTTCCTAACCGGGAGGCTCCGCCCTCCAGACCCCCCGATATATTAAACAGAAAGAATTTTCTATGATAAGGTGAAATTTGAGTCATTTTCTGGACATGAGATGGTACTGCCGCATCGGGGCTATGCACCCCTGGCGGCGGATTGATTTACTGTGTTGGCGGGTTCCACAATAAATGATTATCACATCAGAACTCACTGATGAAAATAATGTAAGAAAATATACAGTCTCTATGTAAAGGAACAATGGCGTGATCTTTAAACAATTGAAGAGACTCGTTGTCTTTTACCCCTAAATTCACAAATTACGTCCATTTAAGATTGGTGACACCTTCACACGACATGCTGAAAAACAAACTGCCCCGAGTGCAGTTCTGGGCCTCATTATCCCCCGGAAGACAAACTAGTGCACGCCTAGCGCCCAATTATCTATGAAATGAACAATTTCCACAATAAATGATTATCATATCAGAACTCACTGATGAAAATATTGTAAGAAAGTAAACAGTAATAAAAAACCTCGCTACTAGGTTAGTCCTATATATTAACCAATGATTTGATGGTACTGATTAATTGATTGATTGATGTACAGTATTTTCCTTATTTATCTAGTGGCCACCTGAGGGAAGAAGACCAGGGGGCTGTGTAGGATCCCTCCATTATTCTTGGTGGTCTGGTCAGGGCTATTTTGAATCCCAGTTACAGTTTCCAATCACACAGCTTGAAATGGTAGATTGTTTCATAGGTCTACCACCCTCTGTGTGAAGAAGTACAGTATTTCCTTTTATTCGTCCTGCACTGTCATTTATGAGAAATTGGTCTATTTAGAGGTCCAGTGAGGGTCATCCCCTAGGCCCTATGGGTACAAGAAGGGCAATCCCATTTAAGATTCATAAACTTTCTACCACAGAAATTTATATTGATATTTATATAGGGAGATAGAACAAAAAAAAAAATTTTATTTCGTTTGTCATAAATTTTTATTTTTCAATTTTTGAGGACTTTTCTTTTCGACTTTCGAAAGTACATTTCAGCGGGAGACACAGCTTACATCTTACTCGTGTAACTATGTCCCACCAATCAGCATTGCTCTCGGTGTCATTTGATACTCCTGCATGTGCTCAGTTTTGAATTTTGCTTGGCTAGTTGCAAGATGGAGTCTGTGCAATAGGTGTTGTTTGTCAGCTTGGCAAACCATGCATTGTATCTTTGAAAATGAAGCGGCTGTTATTGATATTTTTAAGGATCATGGTATTCTGCCAACGTCAGTGAAGTGTGCAAAGTTCGGTTCAGACTGTCACAATCGTCGAGATAAGAACCTTCGGTTTTCTACTAAAAGACAGAAACTCCCAAGACAAAAAGAAATCTCCTTACTGTGGCTTCTCCATTTTGGAATTTAAGGGCACTTGGTTGGACAAAGTACTTACAAGTAGCATCACTTTATCCTCCAGTATCAGATAATTAAGGTTAGGTTAGGTTTTGATCGGTCAGTTTTTCCTTGTTTTTAACCCCATAATTTCCCTCTACTGTACTTAAAAACCCTGCTCACTTTGTGCAAACAAAATTGTTGGTAGTAGGGGGAGTCATATCTCCTTAACGGCTCATTTCCAACAGAAAAGAAGGTTACATTCCATTAAAATGCCACAAAATACACTAAGAAAAACCTACCCGGTATTCTTTTTAGTAGTTTTTTGGTAGACACTTTCCGAATCTTTGCAACCATCCCCTAAAGGTACGGTGAGGAAACTGCTTTTAATTTTTTATTTTTTTCTGATGGGTCACATTGAATGATGTTCTCATTTAAACCAAGCAAGTATCAGAGTTGAACCTATAATGGCAAGAAGAAAATGGGTGCTGTTGTACTACAAAAAAAGGTACTGTACAGTAATACAGTACGTACTTGAAGAGAGTATCTCACGTTAACCAGAAACTTGAAAAAGTTTTCTATAGTAGATAAATGCTTTTATACCTCACTAAAACCCTGTAAGTGATGAGCATTTTCAGTTTCCTTAATATTGTATTTGCATTTGTTTGCTTGTTTTCCATCATGAGCACATCTACGTGCCACCTTTTGGTTATTCTATCCTCACTGTGTACATTACCGAGCACTTTGTTTTATACCTCCATACACACGGACCACTAACATCTTTTCGAACATTTTGCATAGAAGATGATGTTAGAATGCGTTTGATAACTTTCTGACTAAATTTCATATTATTGTTTTTGGTGATCTCAAGAAATGATGTGGATATGTAAATTTTGTAATATTGTAGCAAAGCACTTGGTAACAATGTTTCATACTCCCACAGTTCCATGGAGAAAAAAAAACACTAGCTACTACAACATTAGAGATGAACCACTCTAATATAAGATAATCTTCCTAACCTAACCTAGAATAGGTAGTTTAGGTTGGTTCATCTTATATCCAATAAATCAATTAGTGCAGCAGTACCTGGCAAACACTTGTCATGTAAACAGTGAATATGACATCATACCACATCAACGTAGATTGGTTTTCAGGATGAAAAGATCAGAAATGTATTACAGCACTGTACAGTATTTCTGAAATTTCACTATCTCGGATTTTCATGGGGTAAAAAGCTTTTTTCTTCATGAGAAAAATGTCCTCATGTTCTTGGTTAACTTGCAATACAATTCCAGTGTTGGCAGTAGTACAGTAATTACATATATTATTATACTTCAAGTGAAATTAGAATGAATTGATTTGCCACCACTGTGTTTACACAATGTCATCAGTAAATCTGCATGCTTGTGGTATAGAATGGGTAGTACTGTAATATGGAGTGGTTGTGCAGGTTAACCAGCAACTTTAGAGTAAATTTTAGTAATATAAAATGAGAATCTCTCAGGTTATCCAGTTAGCTAATGAAAAATCTCTATAAATGAAAACGTATTTCTTACCTCAAGAGTAAATAAAAATGGGTGAAATAATAGCACTTTTCATGTTCAAGTTTTTGTCCCTTTTTTTCCCATAGACAATGACAAACACATTTGTTACCTGCACGAACAATGCCGTGCTGTGCATGACAATTGACAAACACAGTGTGCATTGATCTACAGGTATTGAACTTTCTCCATACAAACTGTCTGTGTAATTTGCTCACAGTAGTAACCCAAAATAAAAAGGTTATAAACGTCCATCCTAAGTTAGATAGATAAGTTTTGTTGTTTCGTGTATACCTGTACTGTACAGAATCACCACCTTAGTACATGTACAGTGCAGTGTGCAATATTTGGGGTAAAATTACAAATCCTACGTAGCTTCTATAATTATTGATAATACAGGGGGGTACATGTCTTTTTTGTGTATTATTATGATTATGATTATTATTATTATTATTGTTAATGTAAGGAAGAATAATTTATAATTACATGTATTGTAGTAAAAGTACTATTCCTCCACCCAATTTGCTCTTTTCTTGTGGTAATAAATTTGTTTTCTTCCATAGATATTTTTTCTTAAGTGGCTGTGTAACCCAGGCTACTGTCCTTAAATTTTAAAAATTTTCTGTGAAGACAACTTCGTGCTTACCTGTAGAAAATAAGTAAAAATGACTAGTGCTGTATTTGCAATTTCATAATACTTACAGTACAGTATTATTTTCACTGCATTTTCATCCTTATCACTGATCTACGTCCTGTTAACACCATTTGGGTTAGCCACCTTTCTTAGGGTGTCTGTCTACCTTGTCATCGGAGTATTTGTAGTACCTCTTTCTTCCCACTATTATAGTTGGGTTTCAATAACAATAGCCATTTGTTGATGAGTGATGAGCTAGAAACAGAGGATAGAGCTTGATATTTTGTATTCCAGATTAGCCCAAACAGCTCAGAAGATAGAAGGGTATCAATAACTGAGATGATGACCTGTTATGGTTGTGGAAGGCACTGTACTAACTAGGTAGCTTAACATTACACCTTTGCTTCTAATCTCTGTCTTCTGAGGGTGATGAGTGTAACAGAAAAAATGCCTCTAAACTTTAAAAATTCGAGTGCTGAAAATACTGCAGGGGTTTCTCTCAGCTGAATAAAATCAATCTGGTGTTAGCCAGAATAATATACCCAATGGCTACATTGCCCTCTAAAGTGTTATTTTTTATATTTCAGGACTTTGATGTGTGAGCCTCCAAGCCGGTGCTGGAGCCATGGGCAGCAAGAGAGAATTGCTTGCCACAGTTGAGAAGCAGAAGGAGCAGATTGTCAAGTATGAAGGGAAATTGAAAGGTGGGTAATTCAGTTTCAAAATTGATAACATTGTTCATAGTGTCAGCTGTTGTGGTGGTGATTAATGGTCAAGATGCATTGGTAAGAATCTGGTGTCTTGCTACAAAATATGTCTAGAATTATACCTAATATTTCTCAAAAACTACGGTCGAATATACATGAAATTGGTTTATACAGTAAGTCCTCGTATAACGTCGTCCCGCTTAACGTTGTCTCGGTACAACGCCGCTACTCTTTAGATACCAATAATTCATTTGACGTCGCGACGACTCAATATAACGTCGTTTTTGCGCCATCACGGACTACTTTTTATGGCGCCTCACCCTCTCTGGTCTTTCCGCGCTATGCTCTATTGGCGCAGAACGTCACAGCCATCCCCAAGCGAAGCCAGTCTTTGTTAGGCTTCCACAACATTCGTGCGTGTTTAAGCGTTTTTACTCTTAATACTGTACTGTAATCATTCGAAATGGCTTCCAAGCGCCCATCAAGTGTTATTGATGTGAAGAAGGAACGTAAGACCATTAGCCTTGCTAGAAAATTGAGGTTTTAAACTGTTTTGAGAGGCGGGAGGAGCCACCCGCCGGGTCTCAGTGACTTGCCACCCTCCTTCTCCCCTCCCACCATCCTCCCCCTTCGCTCCACTACCCACCACACACTCGCTCTACCACCTCCACCCATCAGTGAGTACCAATACAAACTTAGTATAGTTGTACTGTACTGTATATGCATCCACTATTTTCTATAGAAATGGCAATGATTTTCTGTATACGTAATGTATTTCATGGGGCAAAGGGAGGCTCCGGAATGTAACTCCCGTATTTTATCTATTTCTTATGGGGAAAATTGATCCACTTAACGTTGTTTCGTATAACGTTGCATTTTCAGGATTGTAACCCCGATGTTAAGCGAGGACTTACTGTACATGAATATATACAGTACATTGAGTCCCCGGCCTACGACGGGATTAGGGACCAACGACCAGGCCGTACGTCGAATTGGTCGTAAGTCGAAAATGCGAAAATAATACATAAAAATCTAAAATGGGTGTCTCTTTTTCTTCTCAGCACCACGAGAGCTCTCACTTTTATGCTTGCCAGCCATTTTAATGAGAATTACAAACGAAAATTTTGTCAGTACACAGCGCAAACACTAACGTCGGGAATTGAAAATACGTAATTTGAAAAATATTTTATACGACTGCGGCGGTCGTATGTCCGGGTGGTCGTAAGTCGAGTAGGTCTTAAGTCGAGGAATACCTGTAATTGGAAGCATAATGTGTTGTCTAATGGTAGACCCTGCTGCCATATGGCATCACGAAAATTGTGACCAAGTCCCAGGTTGCTGATCTGACTTTCCGCCTCATTTACACACAATTGCAGGGCCTCAATTGTTTCTCTTACCATTGACAACACAACATACATATATTGTTTCTCACTCTTGATCTTTTTTTTTTTTTTTCTTTATGGTTCTTTATTATTATTATTATTATTTATTATTATTATTATTATTATTATTATTATTATTATTATTATTATTATTATTATTACATTTTCGCCCCCCAGGCCCCGATGTGGGTCAGTGACCTGTGCCCCGGTGGGCTAATCACCCGTATAAAAAAAAATTAATAATAAAATATAAAATAATTAATTTTTTTTGAACAGATGTTGTGAGAGCTTACAAAGGGTTGTTGAAAGAAAAGGAAGCCCTTGAAACAAGCTTGTCAGCCTTAGCAGGAACCCACACTGCAAAGTCTAATGATGCAGGTAATGCAGAGAAGCCAAAAAGTTCAGGAAAGGAGACAGAGCCACAACCACAGGAAGGCGAGGATGCCGGTACTGCTCAGGATCACCCCAAAGAGAACTTACAGGTTTGTACTCTGGAGAGTTCTGAGAGTATAAAAGTATTCAGTACTCTTCTTAAACTCTACTTTGTCCTTTCAGAGAGAGAGAGAGAGAGATTTTATTTAGTTAATTTCTTACCTTGGTCAGCTTTGCCCAATAGATATAGATACCAGTATTTCTGTGTTTTGGATCACTATGAACCCAAACCTTATCAGTGCTGAGTTTTACAATTAATTATTAGTAGATTGATTTGAAATTTGGCAAGCATCATCATTACCAACGTAAGTGTGCTTATTCTCTTTGGTTGAAATGCCTGTATATATCTTAAGAGCCAGGTGACTCTTGTAATACAGGAAATCCTTGATAACAATGATGACTTGGGGGAGAAGGTCCAATATATAGAATTTTCTGAGAAACCTGATTATTATACAGGTGACAGCTAGAGACGTTGGGGTCATACATAATAAGCAGTCCACACAAAGCAAATCTGCAAAAAAGCATTATGGTTTCTAAAACGATACAAAAGATGTTCAGAGGCACATTTTTACAAGTCTCGGAAGTCATACCCCTCTTCATCCACAATAAATCTACTCCAATGAGCAAGACTTTGAGTTAAACTGACTACTTTAAGGGGATTGTTCTTGGGGTAAGTTTTAACTCTCCCTATATAGTAGACATATGGACTGAAAGAAATTGATCATAGTAAAAATTATCATTATTCATCATCATTCATTTTTTTTTGTTACTCAAAACAAATCTCTAATGTAAAAAAATCTACTAAATATACATAACATTTATACATAATAGTTATATGAAATCGCAATCACAGATAAGCATGGCAACAAATCATCTTAAGATTTTTAAGTGCTGTCGGTCATCACCTAGGGGTAAGGAGGTAGGGAGGCAGAGGTCCTACTTGTCCAAGGTTTAGGTCAGGTCATTGTGAGATTAGAAAAGTCATAGATCAACTCAGCTGTGACATCACAACATGACCAGTGTGTCTGTGTAAAGAAGAAAATCCAAAGCCATGCCAAAAAACCTGGATTCTAGAAGCCAAATCTGGCTTTGGCCCAATGTCTGCTACCAATCATCAACCTTCCATTCTTAGTATAATTTATGGTACACATCTTTAAATTCATGGTGCCAAATGCCAATCGTCCTAAGAGGACAATAATGGTTTTGTGCTAAACCATCTGAAGATAATGATAGCAGTAAAAGGGTTAAACATGCTGATCAAAAAATATTGTTTTTTCTTTTCTTACAGGACAGTGCAGAGCAGGGAAGCTCATCTGAAGTTACTGAAGATTTAAGAAAGAAACTTTCAGCATTAACAGCTGGTCTAAATACACTCACATCAGAGAAGAAGCGAATTGAACAGTCTTTTCAAAATGACAAAAAGAGACTTCTGGCTGAAAAGGAAAAGGTTCGATTTTATATTCACAATGATTTTCTATTTATTATTTTCATTATTCCTTGCCCTCTTTTGTGTCGGGTAGATCATGAAGTACAAAAACAACAAAGAGACGGAAAAGTAATAGGGTGAATGTGAGACAAGTTATGTATAGAAAGTGATGGGTGATAGTGACACACACACACATTTGCTTATATTTAGTATGCAAATTAAATCGTTAGCTTCCACATTGATTTATAATGCTTTATGTCAGCATGCTGTGAATATGTATGAGTAGGCGTGTCATCGGGTATTACCGTACAGTAATTCAATTGTAACTAAACGTATTATGTTCACAAATTTATTATTTATAGCAGTAAAGCGTTAATTTTAATATTGATTTTAGGTACTGGTTTCCATTTAGTTTTAGAGTAGCAAGTAGGGTAGCCATAGATTTTTTTTGTTTGGCATGAGGACACATCCAATTGTGCCCAGCTCCTTGCACCATAGGATAGAGAGATTGTTGATGCCAGCCAGAGAGAGATACTGCCTCATGGGACAACTAGTTCCCCCTCATGGATGGAAGCAAGAAACAGCAGAGGACTACAGAGAGTAAAGAGAGATGAGATTACTAGAATAAATGCATATACCTACTGTATGTATATAAATGCAAATTGTTTAAATAAAGATTAAGGGAATGGAAGACATACAACAATTTTATAGATGATAGTTTTTGCATTTTAGGCATTAGGGAGATGCATCTATTGGGAAGGGAATTATGGATGATGGGAAATAGAAACAGCATGTGAGAAGGAATAATTGATTGGATACACCAGAGTAAGGTCTAGCTGGATGAAAAATATAAAGAGAAAAAAAGTTTATATCATATTACCTAAACTGTAGAATATGTGTGTCAGTCCCTCTGTAAATATTGAGGTAATTCAGTGTATGATAGAAATTAAATAAGAGAACTTCTAAAAACTGGAGGAGTTGGATGAGGCTGTCAAAGAAAAGAAATACATTGAAGACCCTCAGAAGCTGTGGGAGGAAGTGGGAAGAAATCTCAGTGGTTGATTTGTAGAAATGAAAATTTAATTACAGTACAATATATATAACCATAAAAAAATTAAGAGGATGGGAAAGGAATAAAAACGGTTCATTTCAAGATACAATGTTAGGAATGTTAACAAATCAGCATAAATTGAAAATATAATGATAGGTACTGATGGATAGATGCAAAGATTTCATGTTGGGGGATGGAGAAAGGAAGAAGGACTCTGGCAGTAAAAAAGGAAATATACCTATGGGGAGATGAGAACAACCTTGCATATATATTCATTATTACATTTAGTGAAAACATTAGGGGAGATACTGAAACATAGGAAGCAGAAAATAGTGAACATCTAACAAGGTGCTGTCAGATGGCAGGGAAAAGAGTAAAAGTTCCAGAAGAGTTGTAATGGTAATAAGGTGGAATTTCAGGAATCACTCCTTAATTTTGTATCATCATAGCGGTTTTTGACTTGGCAGCCTCCCGTACCTAATGCTTCATTTTGTTGTCTTCGTGAATGAAATTATTGATTAACTCCAATTTTAAAAGCCTTAAGGAATTAATATTTATGTTGTTTTTAGCTGGAAAAGAACTTGCAAGAAGCTCTGGATGCCAAATTTGCAAGTGAAGTAAACGTAGAAGAAAAGATCCAGGATTTACGTAGTAGATTGATTATTGCCCAACATGAACGTGACCAAGATGCACAAAATGCTGCCGTCATGCTTAGGTAAGATGTTGGACCTTTTGACTAATATTGATTTTAGCTCTTCTTTGTAGGACATAGAGAATATATTTAGAGTACTTGCCAGCTGGTTACTATGTTTGGATGGTTCACTTGGAGTAATAGCATCTCAGACCATTGGCTGCAGAGTCTGAGTTACACCTCATCCCACCACTGTTTATTTTCACTCTCAGTTAGCTCTTAGTTGTTTTCCCTCGGGTAATGTACCTTTGAGGGGTTCATTGGGGTTTCATTTTCCATCTTTTATTAATTCCATTGTGTTAAATTAAGTTCATAGTGCCCCTTGCATCACAGCCTTGTAGAATTTCCCCTGTATAAATGTGATGTACAACCTGCTTTTCCCCCCACCTTGGTTATGACTTTGGTGTTGAACCCTTCTGTCATACTGATTAGCCATCAGGATAAGTTTGTGGGATCACCCGTTAGGATAGCCACTATCTTCACCTTAATCATGGTAGAAGTTACAGCTTGATCACTGTTACCCAAAGAGGTGTTATCAGACAATATTTTAAGTAGAAGCTCTACTAATATGCCCACAGTAATTTGCATTCTTTAGAAAATCTCACTCATATCTCTGCTTATTCTCAGATACACCAATGATGGGTTCCTTTTTTTCCTCAAATGGTCTTTGTAACTCAAGTTTTTTGGGGGTTTGTTTTTCAGCCCATATATCGCTCTTGTCACCCACATGTGAGCATTCTTATTTACATGGATGTGTTTCATCTTATGTGGATACCATACTGCATTGATTGTTCTTAGATGTGGTTAGACCAGGGCCTTGTACAATCATTGAAGTGGTTTGATTATTGTATATAGAACATTTCAGTCTTACTTTTCTTTCCTCATTGTTTTCTCTACTCTTTGTAACACATCAGTATCCTCTTTTCTTTGAGTTCTTCTATTCCTGGTTTTTTGATGTCTTAGTTATTCTTGTATCTTAAATTTTGTAGGGAATTAGAGAGCAAGTTGGCAGTGGAGCGGAATGCCGGTGAGCGTTTAGAAGCATCACTAGATGAAGCAAAACATCAGCTACATCGCCCTTCACTGCCAATCAACCATCGTCCACAAGAGCTTTATGAAAAGAAAATAAGTGATCTACAGAATGAATTAGAGCAGGTAATAATTATAGGATTTATTTGATTAATGTAATATTTTTTTGCTCACCATCCCATTATCTTTATTTCACCTTGGGATGAAATACTTCAACATCAACAAGGAGGAAAATGGGAGGCAAACAGGTCAAAACAAGTGTAAAAAGCAACCGGAGAGGTTGGAACAACATACAGTATAGAAATATTCCTTGGATCCTCAAGTTTCATGCAGAGTTTACAAACTAAATTCTGGATAAAATAAAGCATCAGTGAAAATTTCCTTCACTTGTTTTAAATTTCTGTTGCATTAATAGTTTATAATGTGGTAAAAGTTGATATAAAATTGTGTTAGGATCGACCTTTTGGGTTAGCAGTTGGTGATTCTAAAGAACACTTGGTTAGGTCAACAGTATATGTTTGATTTGCTTTTTTTCTGTAAATCAAATGTGTCCATGGCAAAGTATGCAAATTTGATTAATCTGAAAATTATATACTATACAGATTTTAATCTATTTATGTAAAATACATTTATTGTGTGTATGTTTGTGTGTCTGGCTGTCTTTATGTTCCTTGTGCATTTTCACAGTTTTGAAGGTACAGTGAGTTCTGCTATAACGCGTGTTTTGACAACGCGAATTTGCTCGAACGCGATTTATGAATTGAGGAACGATATTTGTAAAACGCGAACTCGTTTGCTCTAACGCGATTCCACTCGAACGGTTGTTGTGGCTTCAGTTCACGTTCGACATCACATGTTCAATTGAGTTATGTGTTTTGTTTGTGAACAATTGCAGAAATAATGTATGTAATATTTATGTATACAGTATACCTATATATTATAAGTAAATTGTAAAATTTTACATAAAAGAGAAAATCAAATTACATAGCGTTTTACACCCGCGCTCTCTCTACATCAAACACAGTGTTTACAGTTCACGTTCGACATCACATATTCAATTGATTTATGTGTTTTGTTTGTGAAGAATTGCAGAAATAATTTATGTAATATTTATGTATACAGTAAACCACTCACAAGGTCCTACAGTACCACTAATTATTTTATACTGAAACTTACGTTTGGTAAGCTGGATTAAAATGAAGATTACCGGTATATTAAAATAATAAAAATGTATTATAAACCAGTCTAACATACCGTAATAAACACAGCTGCTATTATCATCCCCCCCTCCCCCATTTGCCAGTGACAAGAAAGGGAAAGTGACCTTGACTGTGACCGCCTGTGGCTATTTTTAGCCGTCCTTGTGTTCGGAGGTGGTCAGTAATGCATCTCTGTATATTTACTGATCATAATACTTATCTCTTATAAATAATTCATTTAAAATTTATTTTTTTGCAAAGAATATTCAGTAAATGACTGCATTAATTCTTGAAACTGCTGACAGTGGTAAATTTAGGATATAAATAATGAACAGAAGTCACGTCATGGATTCGGAGTTTGGTCCTTAACGATCACCATAAATGTAGCCTCCCTTTTTCGCGAAACACGTATATAAATTAAAGAAAATACTTGCAGTATATTTAATATATTACAGTATATTATATATAAATAAATAAACAAATAAATTCAAATTCCCTTATCATCCTGTGTCATATACAGAAATACTTGAGTCCCTGAGCGAGTACACAAAAAGAAAACGGACATCCTGGAGTGGATAGAGAACTGACATCTCTACTGGGGGACTCAAACGTTTCTCATGTTTTGTGGGCGCTCTAGCATAATATGAATAATATGTAAATTACAATATATATATATATATATATATATATATATATATATATATATATATATATATATATATATATATATATATATATATATATATATATATGTTGTTGTTATATATATATATATATGTTGGTTGGTTATTACATACATATATATATAATTATCTGTTTTGTCTGGCTAAATTGAACTAGTTGAGGGTTGGTGACGGTACAGTAATAGGTTTATAATTTATTGTTCTGTTATTACTAAATATTATTTGTAGTAGCAGTATTGCATTAGTGTCGTCGGTGACTCCAGTAATTGACAGAATGGCATCAGTAGCGTTAAAGATGCAACTCCTAAATGGGACAAATAAAATTTGGCGTAACATATTATCAGTTTTGAACTGACCATCATAAATTTATTTGTCAGTGGCCCAAGGTTAAAAATGCTTTGAAAACCTTTGATCTTGATGTATGATAGTTATTTTGTGGGTCCCTTTTTTCTGACCTGACCTGTCTAGTCACGTCACCACCCTTCTCTTAAGCTCCTCTACGTGTGTGTTGGTGTGCGGATTAGTGGATGTCATCATTATGACCTGACCTTATATTTTTAGGTCACCCTGTACATTTAAGCCTCTCTCTGTCCATGTAACCCAGTTGCCTCTGAAGATGTCTTGAATAAAGATGAAAGCTAAGGTACTCCGTTGTTTCCATTTTCCCGTGTGATTTTATCAAGATTTATCTTATCCACGTTTTCATTGTGGATTTACATGAAATATATATATATATATATATATATATATATATATATATATATATATATATATATATATATATATATATATATATATATATATATATATATATATATATATATATATATATATATGTAAATTGTAAACATTTAAAGAAAAGAGAAAAACTAAATACGTAGCGTTTAAAGTGTACTGTACAGTGTTGTGGCTTGGCTCAATGTTTACAGTTCACGTTCGACATCACTTGTTCAATTGATTTATGTGTTTTGTTTGTGAAGAAATACCTGTACAGTATATGTAAATTGTAAAATTTTAAATAAGAAAGAAAAACAAAATAAGTAGCATTTAAAGTGTACTGTACATTGTGGCTTGGTGCGGGGTTATGCAGTGTTTACAGTTCACGTTCGACATCACATGTTCAATTGATTTATGTGTTTTGTTTGTGAAGAATTGCAGAAATAATTTATGTAATATTTATGTATACAGTATACCTGTACAGTATATGTAAAATGTAAAATTTTAAATAAGAGAAAAACAAAATACATAGCGTTTTAGACCCGCGCGCTCTGTTTACTCCACACTTTGTTTGAAACATTTGTGAAGTTTTTAAGTGTCCTCAGTGAATTCTGATTACTGTTTCTCCAATTTTGTGACTATGGAAAAGAAGAATATCTCTGGGAAGCACTCTGGTGATCGCATTTCCGGTGGTGATCGTAAAAGAAAGGCTATACCACTTGAAGAAAAGCTTGATGTTTCATGACTCCTCAGCCTCAACATCACCCTTATCCCCCATCAAGTTATATTCATATTTTTTCAAGGTAAAGTGTAACATTTACTGTATGATTTCATTATTAGATATGAATGTAACATTTATTTAGACTGTGCTATCCTTTGTGTTAGGCTAACTACGAAATTTTTTTTCGATTTGGAGTAATCTGCACCTAACCCTATTTTCTCCATAAGCCCTGTTATTTCTATTACACGAATTTCTATAACACGATGTTTTACAAGAACACTACTATCGCGTTATAGCAGAACTACCTGTAGTTAAAATTTGGTAGGGATGGGAAGTGTGGGTAACCTTGGGGAGGGTCATAACCTATCTCCTGTCCCTTCACCTCGGTTAATGTGCATAAGAAGGAAATTACCTCCATCCTCTAATGTTTGAAATTGATAACCACAAACCTTTTGTTGCTGTACAGGTTCGTTCTCGCCTGAAGAAAGCTGAACAGCTGTCTGAGGAGCCTCCATTGTTACGCAAGATTCAGGGGCAGATGGAGGAGATGCGAACACAACATAATCAGGCCCTTCAGCAGGTATGTGTTTTGACATTCTAAGGTGTTATATTTTCTGAATGTCAATTGTTATTAAATTCAGTTCAAGTACAGTACACACTATAGAAAAATCTTAAATCAAAGCATTTATATCTTTGAGTAGAATGTTACTGAATTGTATGTCAAAACATTAACTCAATACATCAAATGACTTCTGTTTATACTGTACAGTATATGTATACAGAAGGTCCATTGTTATCCGAGGTTAATAGGGACCGGAAAATCATCACTTCAAAAATCCACTTTATATGGAGAATTTCTGGTCATAAAAAATAAAGGGAATAGGGTTTGATTGAGACCATAAGATACTAAATGACACTTGAAAGGATTATTTGTATACGTTAGCATTTATACTTGGGAATCTGAAGTGCACATGAGATGTCTGTCATACACTCACTACTTTTCTTCCAACGAATGACATCTAATTTCACACAGAAACCATAACTGCTACACTTCCTTTTAGGGACAGCACTTGGTTTAACACTAGCACTTCAGTTTAAAATTTTGCCTAAAACAATATCAATGAATTTTCAAGAATGCTCACAAAAACAACAGAATACCAAGGGTGGTTATGCATTGTTTAAAGTGGGTGAATGACTGAGAGTGGGTGCTCAGCGTGGGTATGGGGGAGGAGCGACGTGTATAGCGGCTGATTTTAATAGTTTTCTTTTGAGACTTCCGCACACCACCGATATTATTCCCCATAATCCTCATAATTGCAGGGATTTTTTATGAATAGTTCAACATTAATTTGGCCTCATAAATGCAAAAACCACTGTGATATATATATATATATATATATATACAGTTGTACCCCACTTAACGCGGTCAATTGAACCCAGAGGGTCCCGCGTTAAGTGAAAACCGCGTTAAGTGAATAACAGAACATATGGGATTAATTCCAATAGAACCCAGCCCGACCCCCAAACTCCACTTTTTGACGACAAATAACTATGTTGTAGTAAAAATAACATCTTAAATTTATGATGGTACATGCACACAATTAATACTTAAGAGAAATAGAGAAATACAGTCGCCAAGTTAATGTCCATTCAAATAATGGACTCAACTCCCTCCCCCTCTTCTCACACTACACTCACTGGCTCTTCCCTCTGAGAAATTTTTGGGGGAAAACCAGGGATAGTAATAAATAATTCCTCAAACTAAAGTTAGGATAATATAATTGACATTGCTGGATTCCTTGTAAGACCAGGAATATTTTGAATATAAATGTCATATATTTTTCACAAAAGATAACATATTTACTCAGAATAAACTTTACATCTAAAATTTGTATGTCTAATGCATAATGCAAAATCTATGATGTTTATATTCAAAATGATCAGCAAATTGTAAGAATTCCAGCAATGTAAATTATATTCTGGCCGGATAATTTGTATGAATTTTATGAGCTAAAACAAATATCTTCAGTTAATAAAAAAAAAAAAATATTCTTCGACACTATCTGTCAATCAAAGTACCCCAACTTGCCTTACCCCCCTCTTCCAACCACGCGGTCAGTCCCAACCCTCCCCCCACCCCCCACCAATCCTCCATTCAAGAGTTTTTAACATTTAGTATTAAATAATACCTCAGATTAAAGTTAGGATAATATAATTGACATTGCTGGATTCCTTGTAAGACCAGGAATATTTTGAATATAAATGTCATATATTTTGGACAAAAGATAACATAATTACCTAGAGAACAATTTTTATCTAAAAATTGTATGTTTAATGCAAAATATATGTTGTTTATATTCAAAATGATCACCAAATTATAAGAATTCCAGCAATGTAAATTATATTCTGACCGGGTAATTGTATGAATTTTATGAGCTAAAACAAATATCTTCAGTTAATAAAAAAAAAAATAATTCTTCACGGGTAACAGATGGTCGGTCGGTCGGTCCCTCCCTCCCCCCCACCCCCCACCAACCGTCCCAAGGAGATGTGTGGGATAACCACTAAATTTTAATAAATAATACCTCAAACTAAAGTTAGGATAATATAATTGACATTGCTGGATTCCTTGTAAGACCAGGAATATTTTGAATATAAATGTCATATTTTGGACAAAAGATAACATAATTACGTAGAGAACAATTTTTATCTACAAATTGTATGTTTAATGCAAAATATATGTTGTTTATATTCAAAATGATCACCAAATTATAAGAATTCCAGCAATGTAAATTATATTCTGGCTGGGTAATTTGTATGAATTTTATGAGCTAAAACCGGCAGTCAGGCAGGGTGGCGGGTGGGGGGTGGTGCGAATCTAAAAATAGCTCTCGAGCCGGACACTCACCGCGTATATGATGAAAAATGCCGCGTTAAGTGAAAGTTCAGCTTTGGCAAGGCACCGCGTATATGCGAAAACGCGTTAAGTGAAAGCGCGTTAAGCGGGGTAAAACTGTATGTATATATATATATATATATATATATATATATATATATATATATATGAGTTGTTATTATTATATATATTGTTTATTGTTGTTGTTATATATATATAGGTTATTATTAGTTATATATATATATATATATATATATATATATATATATATATATATATATATATATATATATATATATATATATATATATATATATATATATATATATAATCATCAATGAAATATATAATGAAATATATATGGATCCTCGTGTTTCGAAGCCGGATTTGGTAAAACGTTACTCTGACCACCTACGTGATACGGGTAGTCCCCAATAGTGGTTCACGGCGCCATAAGCTCGTTGAACAGGCTTTGTTTGAAATATAACAAAGTCTAGGACTGCTTTTGTATCCTGGTGGTCCAGCGGTTAGCGTTCCCCGGTCACAGCCGTGGGTTCGAATCCCATGGTTGAGGTGTTGATTGCATGTACCTTTCACCCCTGAAGATGTGAATTGGCTAATTAAAAGCGCTTTGGGAACTTCATGAAGTTTTCTTCTTCCTTGTGGTTATCAGCATATATATATATATATATATATATATATATATATATATATATATATATATATATATATATATATATATATATATATTTCATGTAAAACGCTACGAAAACGTGGATAAGATATAAATTTTGATAAATCATACGTTGTTACTTATAACTTGGCTGCCTTTTATTCAACATTATCTTTGAATAAAAGACTAAAGCGCACCTGTTTCCATTTTCCTCGTGATTTTATCAAGATATATATATATATATATATATATATATATATATATATATATATATATATATATATATATATATATATATATATATATATATATATATATATATATATATATATATATATATCACAGTGGTTTTTGCATTTATGAGGCCAAATTAATGTTGAACTATTCATAAAAAATCCCTGCAATTATGAGGATTATGGGGAATAATATCCGTGGAGTGCGGACGTCTCAAAAGAAAACTATTAAAATCACCCGCTATATATATATATGTGTGTGTGTGTGTGTACACACACTTTTGATGCTTTGACTTTGTATCTCTTTTTGACAAAGGTATACAGTAGTGTTGTTTGAAATATGTTGATGGTATCAGATTCAATCCAGCCGCTTTTACATTATTAACACCTGATATTTCTTCCATGTACAGTACTGTATGTCACATTTTTCATCTAGTATCTTGTAAGTTTTAACAATGTATCATCGTTTTTGTATTCAACCAGGAACTCAGCCGTGCTTCTGCAGTGGAAGAGTCTGCAAGGGATTTAGCTCAGTCACATGAGGAGCGAGTGGTAGCCTTAGAGGCTAGACTGGCTGACCTTTCTCTTACAGTTGCTTCCTATGACCGTACACGACAAGAAGATCTTCATGCCATACATAAACTGAAGGTAAAATAGTGTTGTGTTTATTAGTTGATTGTCATCAATAACAAGATCTGGTCTCTAGCTGCGTTATTGGCGAGAGCCTACTGTACAGTTATTTTTTTTATTATTATTTTTTCTCTGGGTTATATACACACAGTCCTACATACAGTAAGTGCATAAAGAAATAATTTTCATCATGTATCTATGAGTTTCTACCGTGAAGCAGTGTGGAGCCAGGAGGGTCCGTGGTGCAGCTCTCTTGCTAGGGACGCTGCTGACGAGTGTCGGGTGACTGCATCACAGTTTGAACACTAACTTGTATCATTTTGTTCTTTCTATGCTTTCATTAATGTTAATTATATGCTTTTGTTGTTGATATTTATATGCCGACAATTTTAAGTTTCTATGTTACAGTGTACACTTAAAGCTACCTTTAGGGGTGATTCTAGTGATCTAAACAGAGGTATCATCGCCAGTTACAGAGGATTTACTGTACATTAGAGACCTTGTGCTCCAAATTCCAGAAAAAGCCCGTTCCAGCAACCCCCAGGTCCTAATAATGCCAGATAAATGGTCCCATACCTGTATAATAAATAATGTTTATCCAGGTAACACTGAGGCAGACATCAATGCCTTCAATATATTTATTTTATCTTTTTAGGAGAAAGTATCAGAACTGGCACAGGAGAACAGTTTTCTTGCCTCACGTCTAGAACAAGATATAGACAACAGTGAGACAGACGTGAATGCCCTCTGTCGCCGCCTCACCAAACTTAAGGAGCAGCTGATCACTGCAAATCTTCACACTTCTCATCCTGTTGATGTTGAAAGTATGAATTAGTGTTTAGATAGTTTGGTAACTGCTTACCTCAGATATAAAATACTGTAAACACACAATGACTCACATGGCAGAGCTGTCTTACCATATTTCTAAAGCACAGTGGCAATGCTATATTAATTTCCTTTTCAACCATTCATGTGCCTATCAATTCCTAAATGGAAAATTACTCTGATTGATGTTCATGTTGCGATTCAAGGCAAGAAATACTGAAGGGCTAGAATGGTCCTCCAACCTGACCACATTCTGCCTTCTTTGATCATAGAAAATGGGCCCCTTGGAAGAGTCCCTTAACACTCAGTGCACCATGACCCGATATCTGCATCAATTTTAATCTCATCCAATTAGCACTGATGCCATTCTCAAATTATTCAAAAGAAAAAAAATCACCAAAATCTAGTAATTTTGACTGACGAGTGAGATTTTGACGAGTCACTCCTCAAACCATTCTTTCTCATGGTAATCAACAACTTATTAGAGATATAGCAACCCTTCCTAGCTTGAGCACTTCAGGGGTCTCCCAGCAGTCAAGCAGACATGTGTATGGGCCAAGTAGGACTCGAAACCTTGACATATTGGTGAGAAATAGGTGCATTACCTCTGTACCACAAGGAGACAGCATGGCCGGCACTACAGTTTGGAAAATGTATTGATAGATTAGTGTGTATCTTTGTGAGGGACTTTTCCAAGGGTTCCATTGTTTAGGGTCATTTGAGATGGAAATTGGTCAAGGCTTTTGATCAATTTGGCACTAAGTGGCAACATCCAAATCAATTTATGATTCTTTTGGGTATTATAAATCCAGGTATGGATGGAAAGATAGCTGTGAATATAGAATTGACACTGCTCAGGAAACATGACACATTGGCTCTTTCCTTTGAGCCATAGTTCATAAAGAGAGATTTTGGATCAATGCCCAGTATTTGTAGTCTAATGTCAAATAATTAGTAATAGATTCTTGGTTATGGGTTAGACTGTTAGAGGATTTATGCTAGTCTTATGTGAAGTTTTTTGCACTTGATGTCTCATATTTGAATGGGAATTGAGTTATTGATAAGTTTTTTGCAGTTAGATATTCTTTATAACATAACAGGTCTTCTCTGTGGGGGTGACAACATCCATGTTTGGTGTCAGCAAGAATATGATCATCTGAAGGAGGAATTTGAATACTATAAGATTTCTTCCAAGGAGCAGTCAAGGTAAGCTACCTATTTGATTGATCCCTGGATGTAACATTGTACACAAAATTTGAAATTGGTTGGTTAAAATTCACTAGTAACTGAAAAACACTGAAAATAATGGTGGTAATGGTGGTTTGAATTAGATTTTTAAATATTTATGGATAATGTATAGACGTATGTACATATGTACTGTATATAGAGTTGTTGGTGAATCAGCCTGCAAAGGAGAGTGTGGGAAACAGCTGGAAGACTTGCGACAAAAAATACGTAGTCTCACCTCAGCAGCACAACTGGCTTCTGATTCCCATTCACAACAGGTGGCATCCCTTAGACAGGTAAGATTAAACCTCACTCAATTATTCTAAAAGGCTGGGGACAGACCTTTTGCTGGTAATCCATTTTTTATGGATAATTGTAGTCAACAAGAAACTAGTAAGGCTCCAAAAAATTTCTTACTCAGTTATTTAGGATTAAATCTGGAAGTGAAGAATTACAGGAGAGCTTAGGTTACAGTTTGTGACTAGACAAGGACAGAATGTAGGGACATAAGATTAGCTAAGGTGTGGGTTATGTAGCACCCCAGGACAAAACATTCTCATCAGTGGATCTCTATTATACCACCATTTACAGGATCATAAAACTCTAAATACAGTATGTCCAATATTTAAATGCAGGTTGGGTATCCCTTATCCAAAATGCTTGGGGCCTAAAGGGTCTCGGATTTGGGATATTTTCCGATTTTGGAATACCTATATCGTGTATACAGAACCCGTATAATGCGGTAGCTCACCCAGCTGGGATGGGACCCAAGTCTAGGCACAAAATTCATTTATATTTCATTTACAGCATATGGATACATATATTCTACAGGTAGTCTTATGAAATATAATTTAATCATTTTGTATAAAATATATGATAAGATGTACACTAAAGACCCAGAAAGGTAAGCAATCACTACCGTCTGTTTGGCATGGCCATGAAGCCTGACTGTAGGGTGCTAAGCAGCCTGTCTTACCTTTATTCATTACACATGCATACAATACTTACCCTAGTAAAAATTATGATACAGTATATGCCATATTCAGTGTACAGTGGTCCCTCGATTAATGAATGGTTCAATTAACGAAATTTCAGTTCACGAATTAGCTCCCATAACGATTTTCAGTTCCCTTAACGAACAAAACTTTGATTAACGACAGCCTTACGAGAAACACACTGTGTTGTGCGCATCAGCTGGTCGGCTAGTCCGCCAGTACAGTAATTGGTTCTATGTTTACATTCGTTTCCAGTGGAGTAAATATCAAGAAAGTTGTGCTCATGAATATTTTTGCATTTTTTATATTAAAATTATTGGTCATTCTGAAATTTAGTTAACATGTTGATAATATATACAGTACAGGGAACAGTTTTTGTGTGCCCATCAGCTGATAGAATCGCCCACCAACGCTTCTCAGTTTAGCTTTGTTTAAAGTGGAGTGAACATCAAGTTTGTTGGTCTCTTGAATATTTTTGCATTTTTACATTAAAATTATTGGTCATTCTGAAATTTAGTTAACATATTGATAATATACAGTGCAGAAATTATTATGAAACACGAAGAAGGCATTAGAACCAATGCATTCTGTAAAGAATATGGCATGTCATCATCGACTGCCTCTACAATCAGCTGTTTGATATGTAAACAAAGCTGCCGGGAATACGACACACACACCTCAAAGTAAGTTAAAATACAATATTCTATTGTTTTTTATTTATTATTGTACAGTTTACTGTACAGTACAGTACTGTATTTAGTTTAAATTTAATGTTTAGTTAATTCTATTACCGGTATACAGTGGTCCCTCGGTTAACGAGCACAATCCGTTCCAGCAGGTTGCTCGTTAACCGAAAATCTCGTTAACCGAAACCATTGTTTCAGTGGGTTTTTGGGTAATTGGTTCCAGCTCACCGATAATTGCCTAAATTCAACAAAAAAGGTAGAAAAGTTCACTTACTTTGAGGTGTGTATGTAGAAGGCTCCTGGATGATGATGATGATGATGATGTGAATTTGAAGTGGGAGGTGGAGGAGGAGAAGGGAGAAGAGAAGGAAGTGGAGGTGGAGGAGAAGCATTTTACTGCTTCTTGGAAGGTGAGTCACCTTCCATGAAAATGTCAGGAACCTCTGGACTGACAGATTCTCCACCATGAACATCCTCTCTCCTTCTTGAAGTGGAAGGCTGAGGGATAGCATCTTGTTCCCTCTGCCTTTTACTGAAGAAAGTGTCAATTGTTGTCTGTGGGGCATCTCTCCTCCTCACCATTAACTTATGTTTAAAGAAGGAGACCACTGAGTCCTCAACATGACACAAAGTTAGTTCAGTTTTTTCCACATCTGGGTGCTTTGAAGCCAGTTCCCTGAACTTCTCCCAGTAGTAAATCACATCTTTCAACTGTTTAGCTGACATTTGGTCATCACTTTTAATTCCCTCCTCACCACTGTCAGCCTCTACCTGTAACATCTCATCCAGTTGCTTCAAGTCATCAGGAGTAAGTTCCTCCTCATGAGACATCACAAGCTCTTCCACATCCTCCTCCTCCACTTCAAGGCCCAATGGACACAATCTCCTGGTCCAACTCTGTTTCTTCCTCAAATCCCTCAAAATCATGGACTACTGATGGCCACAGTGCTTTCCATGAAGACTTGAGGGATCTAGTGGAGACTTCTTGCCATGATGACACAATCAATTTTACAGCCTCCAGGATGTTGAATTGTGTCTTCCAGAACTGTTTCAGTGTTAGTTCAGGATCATTGGAAGTTGCCTGATGACACCTCCTAAACATTTTCTTCATGTACAACTTCTTGAAGTTGCTGATCACATTCTGGTCCATTGGCTGTATGATTAATGTAGTGTTTGGAGGCAAAAACAACACTTTCACAAAGTCAAATTGATACTCCAAATTTCTGGCAAGTTCAGGGTCATGACCAGGAGCATTATCCATGAGAAGAGCCTTTAAAGGGAGTTTATTGGTGGTTAGGTAGCTCTTGACAGAAGGACAAAACACATCAACAGCCCATTCATTAAAGAGCTGTCTTGTCACCCATGCCATACGGTTGGACTTCCAATAAACTCCAAGCTTTGTTCTTACCACTTTCTGTTGCTTGAACACCCTGGGGTTTTCAGAGTGGTAGACAAGCATAGGATTCAGTCGGAAATCCCCTGAAGCATTGGCACCAAGCAATAGAGTGAGACGGTCTTTCATGGATTTATGCCCAGGTAAAGAGGCTTCATCTCTGGTGGTGAATGTTCTTTTGGGCATCTTTTTCCAGAACAGCCCAGTTTTGTCCACATTGAACACTTGCTGTGGAAGATAATTTTCTTCTTCCATCAGTTCTTTAAATTCAACTAAAAACTTTGCTGCCCCTTCCTTATCAGCACTAGCAGCTTCACCATGCCTAACAACACTGAAAATGTCACTTCTTTTCTTAAATTTTTCGAACCAGCCTTTGCTGGCCCGAAAATCTTCAAATTCTGTGCCTGAAGAACCAGCTTGATCTGTCTTTAAATGTTCGTAAATCTCCCTGGCTCTTTCACAAATGAATTCAGTAGAAACTGAATCACCTTTCATCTGTTTTTCCCTAATCCAGATGAGAAGTAACCTCTCAGTTTCTGCAATTAGGGATCTACTTTTAAACACTCTTGTAGATTTGTCTCTCACTTTCACTTCTTTAAATTTGTCTTTCTGTGCAAGAATTGTCGACACAGTTGATGTCGACATGCCATATTCTTTGCATAGCGTATTTGTTCTAATGCCTTGTTCATGTTTTTTTTATAATTTCCTGCTTGGTTTGGATTGAAATCGCTTTTCTTGATCTCTTAGGCCCCATGCTGGATTCAAACAATGTCAACACGTGTTTTTTAAAGTTAAACTTGTTGTAAATAAAGAATATTTTCTTTAAAATAACACTGCACTGCGCTATATATTGTCAATAGGTAAAATAAATTTCAAAATGACCAATAATTTGCTTGGAAACACAGAAAAAAAGCATTTACTTGAAGAGAGTCTCAAGCAAGATGTTACCTCCACTGAAAACGGAGAGAGACTAATGCTTGTTTGCTGTGTTAAGAGGCTGGATGGCGCGCATTAAACTAGTCACTATACCTTCAATAATGTTCAATAATTGTTAAAATGACTAAAAAATTTAATATTAAACTTTTAAAATTATTGAATAGTATAAACTTCTTGATATTTACTAAAATAGTCAGGAATTTAAGCCCTAGAACCGATTAATGTATTGGCGGACTAATACTAAAGCTGGTTGACCGCCAAGTGCAAGCCAAAACTTGTTGAGGTCGGCTCGTAAGAAACTCGTTAACCGAGGGATTGCTCGTTAACCGAAGTTTAGAATCTTATGGGACGTAACTCGTTAACCGAAATCTCGTTAACCGAGGCGCTCGTTAACCGAGGGACCACTGTACAGTACTTTGTATGTATACTTTTCTGTGAGTTGGAACTAATTACCCAATCCCATTGAAATAATAGATTCAGTTAACGAAATTTTTGGTTAACAACCGACTCTGTGGAACCAATTGTGTTCGTTAATCGAGGGACCACTGTATTATCTACCATAAATATAATGAAATGGGCTTTCGGATTTCAGATCATTTTGGACTTGGGAATTTTGGATAAGAACATAAGAAAATAAGTAGTCTGCAATAGGCCGGTTGGCCTGTGCATGGCAGCTCCTGTCGAGAGTTACTACCACTCTATCATCCATGAATCTATCCAGCCTCCTTTTGAAACTTTCTAGCATTCCAGCACTTACTACAAAGTTGCTAAGCTTGTTCCACTCGTCCACCACCCTATTTGTAAACCAGTTCCTTCCTATCTCCCTCCTAAACCTAAATTTATCCAACTTAAATCCGTTGTTCCGAGTCCTATCCTGCTCGGATATTATAAGAACTTTATCTATATCACCTTTATTGATTCCTTTCACCCACTTAAATGCTTCTATCATATCTCCCTGCACTCTTCGTCTTTCTTGGGAATGCAAGTTTAGTTTCTTTAACCTATCCTGATATGGAAGGTTTCTAAGTCCCGGAATCATTTCGTCATTCTTCGCTGCACCGACTCTAGTGAATTGATATCCATTCTATAATAAGGGCACCAGAACTGAACCGCATAATTGAGGTGCGGCCTGACTAGCGCAAGATATAGTTGCAATAAGACCTCTGCACTCTTATTACTTACACTTCTAGATATAAAACCCAATACATGTACTCTGTTTGCCTTATTTCAAACAGTAACACACTGTTTTCTAGGCCGTAGGTCCGGGCTTACAAGTACCCCTAGGTCTCTTTCACAAGTCGACTTCTCTAGGTTGATGTTGTTAAGGCTGTATACATTGACAGTATTTGTTCTTCCAATATTAAGTATGCTACACTTGCTGGTGTTGAATTTCATTTTGCCATTTTTCAGACCACCCCTGCAGTTTATTTAGATCCTCCTGTAATGCATTTGCATCCTGCCCTGAATTAATCTGCCGCCCTATTTTGGTGTCATCCTTAAATTTGCTTATGTCACTGCTGATCCCAGTATCTAGATCGTTTATGTAGATTATGAACAAGAGTGGGCCTAGTACTGACCCCTGGGGAACCCCACTGGTTACACGACCCCACTCAGATTTAACACCATCTACGCTGACCCTCTGCGTTCTATCGGTGAGCCATGATTTTATCTAATTTAAAACTTTCCCCTCAATACCATGAGCCTTAACTTTTCTCAGAAGCCTCTGATGAGGTACTCTGTCAAATGCTTTGCTAAAGTCTAAGTAAATAACATCGTAATTTTCGTCATTATCTACTACCTCGAAGACTTTACTAAAAAATGTCAGCAGATTTGTTAGACAAGATTTTCCCTTTGTAAACCCATGTTGAGTCGTAGATTAATTTGCTTTTCTCTAAATGCGATCGGATGTTATCTGCTATAATTGATTCAAGAAATTTCCCCACTACTGACGTCAAACTGATCTCTCGGTAATTTGACGCTGATGCTCTGTCTCCCTTTTTGAATATGGGTACTACATTTACCTGTTTCCACAAGTCTGGCACAACTCCAGTGTCTAATGATTTTGTAAATAAGTTTACGAGGAGTCCGCTAATCTGTTCCCTACACTCCTTCAAAACTCGAGGGAAAATTTCATCCGGCCCTGGGGATTTTGTCTTCTTTAGTTTATTTATCTTCTTAAGAACATCCTCTTTTCTGATAGTGATATTCTTTAATTTCTCTTCTTCCTTTCCCTTAAATATCAGTTCCACCTCTGGAATTTCATCGCAAATTTCTTCTGTGAAAACTGATAAGAAGTACAGTAGCTGTTCAATGCTTTGTTTATTTCTTCACTGCCATTAATCACTTCCCCCCTCCCTGACTTTAAAGGCCCAACTTTGTCCTTGACCTTTGTTCTATATACCTGGAAAAATCCCTTGGGATTTGCCTTGGATTCTCTTGCTATTTTGATTTCATAGTCTCTCTTAAGGGATACCCAACCCGTAATAAAAAATTAGACCTAAAATTTCTGAAAAAATTACTTAAAATTGCTGAATAATGACTGTAATGCCTCAAAAATTATATTATGAAGATAAGTTTCAAGCATTCACATAGAAGATGAAGTAATTCACATATTTTCACATTTTCATAGCTCTTGGAAAATTACCATAAGTCACGGTCCTTGGTGCATCCACCAACACTACTTCTTGTTGTTCAAAGAGTCCATACTGTACTTGAATTCACCCTTGTGTAAGCTGGATGAAAGGTGTTTTAAGAAACATTTTTGTAAAAACAACGGGTAGACTAAAATCATAACATCCATGGAAACTGTAATGACCTGTAATATTAGGGTCAAAGGTCACGTCCTTTAGGGTCAGCTGTGCATCAACTTTTCATATTTTTTACTTCTTAAAACCAGCTGGCTCAGGTTTACTGAAATTGTGTAGGGATGTCCAATTTTAAGATTGTGTCCGATATGAACATTTGTCATCCCAAGTTGGACATAAAGCTTCATGTTACTCTCATTTATAACAAGTTTCCATTAAATTTCTTTGATTTGTAAAGATAATTGATCATAAAGACAATCATTCCTTATTTGTGGAAAGGAAGCTAATTTGAGAAACGAATAACCAAATCAGTTCTTCATAATACAGATGCTGTAATTATAATCCATATGACTTCCATAAAAGATTCTGTATGTGTTACAGGAGCTGTCAGCTTTGAGAGCATTACATGAGAATCAGTTACGCCGTGTAGAGAGTGAGGGCCGTGCAACATTGGCAGCTGTTGAGCAACAGCTGTCTTTGCAACAACAGCGGTCACTGGCCACACTAAGTGAACGTGATTTAGAAATTCAACGCTTAACCGAGCAGCTGCATGAGCGAGATAAAACACCACCACAGGTAAAAATCTGAGTATGGGAAAATAAGAGTTAAAATAAAAATAATAATTAAATTTAAATATTTTTTTTATAATTTAATTTTTTTATGGGAAAAACTATTATATTGTGAAATTTTTAAGATTTTTTAAGGCCTGGAAGATGGATGGTGCCAAGGAGGAGTACCTGAAGGCCAAGCACAGGGTCAAAAGAGAGGTTTACAGTGGATAGAAACAAAGATGATGGTGGTGAGCATTACATGAGAAATGACCAACATAAATTGGTTGTTAATAACGTGGAAAACAACAATGCCTGAATAAAATATAATGATTAACTACTGAATGAGGAGTACGAATGGAACAAGGATAGCCTAGGTGCAGCAAAACCAGTACAGGGACTTTCCAAGAATAGAAGGATATTGGGTTAGGAAAACAATTGAGAAAATTAAAAATCGAAAGGCAGCTAGAAGCTCTTGAATGGTTGCAGAAACACTGAAGGAATTAGACAACATTCTGCTTGTGTGTAATAATAATTTCAATCAATTTGACCATGGAGAGCTCACAAAGCTATGAGTGGCTTGTTTCCAGTAGAGTCTTTATACCAACAGCATCTGGTGTTCTTGTGGCCAGGCAGTCACCCATCCGTGTATTAACCAGACCTAACGTTGCTTAACTTCGTTGGTCGAACAAGAAGTGGTGTTTCCAACACGGTACTACAGTACATGGTTTGAAGCTAATAGCATGTAAAGAAAAAGAAATATGGATGTATGATGGATATAAGGGAGTGGAAGGAGTATTCAGTAGGACAGAGAACTGACTAAGGTTTATGAGAATGTGAAAGAAAAGATTGGTCAAAGATTATACTGTATGCTTCAGGAACGAAAGGTAACTGAGAGATGGGAAGACCAAGAAGAAGGTGGAAGCCTAGTGGTGAAGAAGCATTAGATAGGAGGAGGATGAACAGAGGGTTGGTTAATAAAAATGAATATATTTTTTTTAAACTACCCAGTACTTATAATAAATCAGTACATGAGGAAATTTTTTTGAAATTAAATCTACTAATTAACGACTGCAAAATAGGTGACACATAAATAATAATAATAAACTTTGCTGTTAATTTTTCACTAAGCAAGTTTATAGAATTTACTTATAACTATTGATTACACGTTGGATAAATGCACCATATACTGTATGCTTCTTCAATGGAACATTTGAATCATTTTTTCTAATTTGCATTAAGTTAAAAGAACACTCACATCAGGTGTACACTATGTCTCTGTTCTTCTGCAAAGGGTGTGAAAAGAATGAGCTAATAATATAGACACTGTGCCTAAAGCAGGTGGTACAGATTCAGTTTGCTTAACTGAATACTTACGGATATTTTTCAGGCTTTACTAAAATTGTCTCTAGTACTAAGCCACGCCCCTACTTTTGCCAATTTTTTTTTTTAGGAAAAGAGTGCAATTTGTATTCATCAAAATATGGTATTTGTATTTCAGAGTAATATCGGGAGCTTAGAAGCCACAGCAGCACTGTTATCCCAGGTCAGTGGTGGAAATGAGGGTCCTCTCTTGCACCACCTGGAGGAATTAGCACGCAAAGACCAAGAGATTTCTCACTTTAGAAGAGAAAAGCGACAGTTGGAGACGACTATGAGGGAGGTACAGATGGCTGCACTAGTCAGACAACAAGCTCAGCAAGATACTATTGAAGCATTGGAAGAGGAGGCTGAGAGGTTAGGGTCATTTAGAATCTTACTGCATGGACTGAGTAACTTTCTTTAATCAGGAAGTCCATGGGTTTGAAAACCCTTGGGGGTCATGGCCCCCAGTTTGAGAAACACTGTGTTAGGTAGTAAATTACAGTAGTTGTGTACTATTTATCATTAATTAGGACTTCTTTTTTTGTTGTTGTTCGGGAACTAATTTCATGTTTCGGGGTATAATATTGGGTTTTTGTTGTCACTGGGGAACTGAACTATTTTTTACCCGTATGTTCTTTTATTCGCAATACGAAATTCACTTAGCGAATGGCTTTTCAGGAACCTAACTCATTCATATAACAAGGGATATCCAGTCTATGTATAGTATATCTATTCAACACTTAATTTACAGAACATCAATCGTTATTATTGACAACTTTAACTTTTCATATACATTTTCCAGAAATGTCTTGCCTTGCAGTTAAACATTTGCATATAAAAATTCCATACCTCCACATGTACAGTACATGCTGTATTTACAAAAGATACACACATTAACCATATATTTATATATATATATACAGTGGCCCCTCGGTTAACGAACTCAATCCGTTCCAGAAGGTCGTTCGTTAACCGAAACGTTCGTTAACCGAAACCATTGTTTCAATGGGTTTTTGGGTAATTGGTTCCAGCTCACCGAAAATTTCCTAACTTCAACAAAAATGGCGGAAAAATTTACTTACTTTGAGGTGTGTATGTAGAAGGCTCCTGGATGATGGTGATGATGTGCATTTGAAGTGGGAGGTGCAGGAGGAGAAGGGAGAAGAGAAGGAAGTGGAGGTGGAGGAGAAGCATTTTACTGCTTCTTGGAAGGTGAGTCACCTTCCATGAAAATGTCAGGAACCTCTGGACTGACAGATTCTCCACCATGAACATCCTCTCTCCTTCTTGAAGTGGAAGGCTGAGGGCTAGCATCTTGTTCCCTCTGCCTTTTACTGAAGAAAGTGTCAATTGTGGTCTGTGGGGCATCTGTCCTCCTCACCATTAACTTATGTTTAAAGAAGGAGACCACTGAGTCCTCAACATGACACAAAGTTAGTTCAGTTTTTTCCACTTCTGGGTGCTTTGAAGCCAGTTCCCTGAACTTCTCCCAGTGGTAAATCACATCTTTCAACTGTTTAGCTGACATATGGTCATCACTTTCAATTTCCTCCTCACCACTGTCAGCCTCTACCCGTAACATCTCATCCAGTTCCTTCAAGTCATTAGGAGTAAGTTCCTCCTCATGAGACATCACAAGCTCTTCCACATCCTTCTCCTCCACTTCAAGACCCAATGACTGACCAATGGACACAATCTCCTGGTCCAACTCTGTGTCATCCTCAAATCCCTCAAAATCATGGACTACTGATGGCCACAGTGCTTTCCATGAAGAATTGAGGGTTCTATTGGAGACTTCTTGCCATGATGACACAATCAATTTTACAGCCTCCAGGACGTTGAATTGTGTCTTCCAGAACTGTTTCAGTGTTAGTTCAGGATCAATGGAAGTTGCCTGATGACACCTCCTAAACATTTTCTTCATGTACAACTTCTTGAAGTTGCTGATCACATTCTGGTCCATTGGCTGTATGAGTGATGTAGTGTTTGGAGGCAAAAACAACACTTTCACAAAGTCAAATTTATACTCCAAATTTCTGGCAAGGTCAGGGTCATGACCAGGAGCATTATCCATGAGGAGAAGAGCCTTTAAAGGAAGTTTATTGGTGGTTAGGTAGCTCTTGACAGAGGGGCAAAACACATCAATAGCCCATTCATTAAAGAACTGTCTTGTCACCCATGCCTTACGGTTGGACTTCCAATAAACTCCAAGCATTGTTCTTACCACTTTCTGTTGCTTGAACACCCTGGGGTTTTCAGAGTGGTAGACAAGCATAGGCTTCAGTCGGAAATCCCCTGAAGCATTGGCACCAAGCAATAGAGTGAGACGGTCTTTCATGGGTTTATGCCCAGGTAAAGAGGCTTCATCCTTGGTGATGAATGTTCTTTTGGGCATCTTTTTCCAGAACAGCCCAGTTTCGTCAACATTGAACACTTGCTGTGGAAGATAATTTTCTTCTTCCATCAGTTTTTTAAATTCAATTAAAAACTTTGCTGCCCCTTCTTTATCAGCACTAGCAGCTTCACCATGCCTAACAACACTTAAAATGTCACTTCTTTTCTTAAATTTTTCGAACCAGCCTTTGCTAGCCCGAAAATCTTCAAATTCTGTTCCTGAAGAACTAGGTTGATCTGTCTTTAAATGTTCATAAATCTCCCTGGCTCTTTCACAAATGAAATCACCAGAAACTGAATCACCTTTCATCTGTTTTTCCCTAATCCAGATGATAAGTAACCTCTCAGTTTCTACGATTAGGGATCTACTTTTAAACACTCTTGTAGATTTGTCTCTCACGTTCACTTCCTTAAATTTGTCTTTTTGTGCAAGAATTGTCGACACAGTTGATGCCGACATGCCATATTCTTTGCATAGCGCATTTGATTTAATACCTTGTTCGTGTTTTTTTATTATTTCCTGCTTCATTTGGATTGAAATCACTTTTCTTGATCTCTTAGGCCCCATGCTGGATTCAAACAATGGCAACACGTATTTTTCAAAGTTAAACTAGCTGTAAATAAAGAATATTTTCTTTAAAATAACACTGCACTGCACTATATATTGTCAATATGTAAAATAATTTTCAAAATGACCAATAATTTGCTTGGAAACACAGAAAAAAAGCGTTTAGTTGAAGAGAGTCTCAAGCAAGATGTTACCTCCAGTGAAAACAGAGAGAGACTGACGCCTGTTTGCTGTGTTAAGAGGCTGGATGCCGCGCATTAAACTAGTCACTTTACCTTCAATTTTGTTCAATAATTGTTAAAATGACTAAAAAATTGAATATTAAACTTTTAAAATAATTGAATAGTATAAACTTCTTGATATTTACAAAAATAGTAAGGAATTTAAGCCCTAGAACCGATTAATGTATTGGCGGACTGATACTAAAGCTGGTTGCCCGGTCAGTGCAAGCGAAAACATGTTGAGGTCGGTTCGTAAGAAGTTCGTTAAGCGAAATTTTTTTCGTTAAACGAATTGAAGATCCTTATGGAAGGCAGTTCGTTAATCGAAATTACGTTAACCGAGGTGTTCGTTAAACGAGGGGTCACTGTATATATATATATACTGTATATATATTGTGTAACTCAGTAATGTAGTTAATGCATTATTGATTAGATAATTATGCATATTTGTTATATTCCTACTCTATTTTGTGATTTCATATTTTCCAGGCATCGCAGAAATGTCTCTCGAGAGAGCGAGAACTTTGAGTACTTGAAGAATGTCGTTCTGCAGTATATGATTAGTTCTGATGCAGAATCCCGCCAGCTGATGTTAAATGCAATATCTGTGATCCTTAAATTCACAGATAAGGAGGTAGAGAGTGTTAAGAGATACAATGCCCTTTGGTGGTGGCAGCCAGCACCCAGGAGTGGTGGACCAAGGAAAACTTAACCACTAATGTTGTGCCTTGATACAGTAGGTTATAATGTACAGGTCTATTTTATCAATGAATTCCATTTGTATTAAGCAGTGCAATTCTATCTAGGACTTCCACATAGATTGTGACTAATAATCATGGCAGTAAATTATAATTTACTGCCATGATAAAAACCACATTGCCAAATTCTAAACCTTTTGAAAGTTAGAAGGAATATATAATTGTCACAACAGTTTATTTTTGGATATGTATAACAAAATGTTATTTTGCTATTTATTTTGTATTAGCTATGAGAGATATTCAGAAAGTTTTAGATATTTTTTGCTTTAGCGCTTCTCTCAAATTTCGTGTAATAATTTCCTTATTAAAAATTATGACTCTTTGATCATTAGAAATACTATATAATATAAATCTCACCCAATCTGCAAGACTATGTCTCTACAGGCTTTGAAGATTGTAAATATTTTAGATCATCAATTTGATGGATTGTAAATTTATTGAGTTTATATTGAAATTAAGTTAAATAGTGTAAGGTGAAAATAGGGTTTAGTTCCAGAGTCCCAAAATAGTCCCCTAAAATTCACCCCTCCCCCCAAAAAATATCCAAATACTTGTTGCATTCTCCGGTTAACTAAATCTTCTTAAAGAAGAAAATTGTAGTCTGGAACATACTGTACATGTAATATAATATTAATGATAATAATGGTTTCCCTTATATTTGATTGGCCACTTAGGGCCACCTGGGTGTGAATTTGTTTAAGGTGTAGAAGCTGTTTCCAACACAAAAACCTCACCCTAAGTTTACAAGCTGTAGTGTCAAGGAATAATCCAAGAGGACCAGACAACTTGCCAACTGCACTGGCTAACCATTACCTCATAACACACTCCTCAAGTCAATTAACGTCCAGGTTTCCAGTTACTGCTGGGTAGACAGAGGCACATGGCACAAAGAAACTTGCCCATTGTGTCACCATTCCTGGGGATTGAACCCAGGACCACTAGCTTGAGAGATGAGCATGCTGAAATCACTGGATGCTGAGGAAGTGTTGGGAACCTTTATAAGCAGCAAGTGGTAATTGTCACAAGAATATTTTAAGACACTCTATTCTGCCTCTGTCACAGAATTATTTTTATTTTTATCAGAATGCACAGTGAGAGAATGAAGTAGTCAGTTCTGCTATAACGCGATAGTTGTGTTCTTGTAAAACATCGTGTTATAGAAATTCACGTAATAGAAATAACAGGGCTTATGGAGAAAATAGGGTTAGGTGCAGATTACTACTCGAAATCGAAAAATATTTAGTAGTTAGCCTAACACAAAGGTTAGCACAGTCTAAATAAATGTTACATTCATATCCAATAATGAAATCATACAGTAAATGTAACACTTTACCTTGAAAAAATATGAATATAACTTGATGGGGGAGAAGGGTGATTTTGAGGCTGATAACATCGAGCTTCTCTTCAAGGGTTATAGCCTTTCTTTTACGGTCATCACCGGGAATGCGATCACCAGAATGCTTCTTGGAGATATTCTTCTTTACCATATTCACAGTTAATACCACAAAATTGGAGAAATAGTAAGCAAAAATCGCGTTACAGCAAACAAGCGTTCGCGTTATACAAATATCGTTCCTCTATTCATAAATCGCGTTAGAGCCAATTCGTGTTGTCAAAACACGCGTTATAGCAGAACTCACTGTATCTTCCTTGGTTTTGACGAATATATCACAGACACAGTTGAACCATTCGACACACATGTAGTCTCAGTAACACTTACAGTACAGTATAATCCGCCAGGTTTCATTATATTTCAGCCCAAACTGGGAAGATACTTATCTTTTACTGTACATTAAAGACAAAAATAAAGTAAAGTTAGCAAGGCAACACCATTTATCGTACATTGTTCTGAACAATGTTTTCAGATGCAGTTAGCCAGAATAATTAACACTTTTACTATTCCTAATTATTTCTTCATCTCATCACATTGTTTTACCGGTATATTTCTGATTGTGATTACACGTGAAAAAGTTTTAGATGTGATCATAACTATACAGTAAATTAGCTAAAATGATGCTTCTAAGTGTCAAAAGTGATTTTTTGGGTAGTTGTAAACAGTGCTTCATTTTGCTGAACTTTCACACTTTACTTCATTTGATTAAAATATTATAAAGAATTTTTTATGTAATATACAATGGTTATTTGAAGTTCCAATACCTTCTTACCGACTGATAATATAGCTTCTCATAACAATTGCTTAACTACTTTGGAGTTTTGGGATATTTTAATGTTTATTTAATGGTCTTGTACCTTAGAAAGGACATATTTTATGTGCATTTTGTACTAAAAATCAGTGGACCATGAATTGGTGGATCACAGATTCAAGATTTGCAGATTGGTGGGTTTACCGATTTTATTATTATTGTTGCATGAACTAAAGTTAATGAATATGCTTTTCAGAGGGGCATGTTATGAAAGGGTAGTATGTTACTATCAGGGAGAGTAGTAGTTGTAGGCTATGTAAGGGGAGTAAGATACTATCAGGGAGAGTAGTAGTTGTAGGCTATGTAAGGGGAGTAAGATACTATCAGGGGGAGTAGTAGTTGTAGGCTATGTAAGGGGAGTAAGATACTATCAGGGGGAGTAGTAATTGTAGGCTATGTAAGGGGAGTAAGATACTATCAGGGGGAGTAGTAATTGTAGGCTATGTAAGGGGAGTAAGTTACTATCAGGGAGAGTAGTAGTTGTAGGCTATGTAAGGGGAGTAAGATACTATCGGGGGGAGTAGTAGTTGTAGGCTATGTAAGGGGAGTAAGATACTATCGGGGGGAGTAGTAGTTGTAGGCTATGTAAGGGGAGTAAGATACTATCAGGGAGAGTAGTAGTTGTAGGCTATGTAAGGGGAGTAAGATACTATCAGGGGGAGTAGAAGTTGTAGGCTATGTAAGGGGAGTAAGTTACTATCAGGGAGAGTAGTAGTTGTAGGCTATGTAAGGGGAGTAAGTTACTATCAGGGGGAGTAGTAGTTGTAGGCTATGTAAGGGGAGTAAGTTACTATCAGGGAGAGTAGTAGTTGTAGGCTATGTAAGGGGAGTAAGTTACTATCAGGGAGAGTAGTAGTTGTAGGCTATGTAAGGGGAGTAAGTTACTATCAGGGAGAGTAGTAGTTGTAGGCTATGTAAGGGGAGTAAGTTACTATCAGGGAGAGTAGTAGTTGTAGGCTATGTAAGGGAAAAATTTGCTAATCATTTGTTATAAAACTAAATCTAATTGTACAACATAAATCTTTATTGTTTTAAACTCACAGTCCAATGCCATATGATTAAGAGTTAAACAATTTAGTGAGCACAAGCTTAGCCTAATTTGAACAAATTTCAAATTGCATATGACAAAAATAAAAAAAATAAATGCTAAGGTAAACATTAAAATTGATACATAGCACATCATATACTGTAATACAATAGCACATATTTTATGTATACAGGCAGTCCCCAGGGTACAAACGTCCGACTTACGAACATCTGCCAATACAAACGAGATTAAACTTCAGATTTACGGTATTTTATGTACAGTCAGCCAAAGATTCACCTACCCCACCCTGGGTCTCGTGCTCGCAATTTTACCTGGCAATACTTGGTAAAGGAAGGCTGTATGTAAAGGTGATTGTGATTGGTGGATCTGTTTGGCTGTATCACTGTCAGGATAAATATTAAACAAACCAAAGGTAGAATTTTTATAATAATAAACTATTCATTGTTATTTATGGTCAAGAGAAGTTTCCAAATGTTTGTATATTTGTTTAAATAATGAAGAAAATTTGAAAAGAATCTTGTGGCAGCTGTGGCTACTGCCTCGCTGCGCTGTGTGTATACTGTACCATTATGTCTGGGGGGGGAACATTTTTCATATTTTATAGTTTTATTTTAAGTTTTCTTTATTTCTAAGCCACATCATTTATATTGAGTGGAATCAGTGTTAAAAAGCTCAGATTTTCCTCAAATTTGTACATTTTTATGAACTTTTAAATATCCAAACAATTTTCTGTTAATTTTTCTCAAACTAGCACGGAGAAGCGAAAAACATTGTAATTGGGGAATGCTCATGAAAATGCATCTGTTTGTGGAAAATCAGACTTCAGAGACACAAATTTGTGAGGTTAGCCTGTGTTGATGAAAGTTAATACCTGTACTGTACAAATAGTGTGTTTAACATGATAATGCCACCATATGTACAGTACTGTATTTGTAAGAGATCATGTAATGTACGGACATGCCCTTCAGATATTATCACATCATTAGTATACAGTGCAGTATATTATATTTAATAATGTTTCATATATAAAAAAAAAAGCACATAAAAGAATTCAACATAACTGTAAATTCAAGTATACAAGAAACATTATATCTCGATATTAAATAGCCAGTACTTATTATTTTTGCCATAAACATCACCTATTTCTCTAAAGACCATTGAAAAGTGGCTTAGCAAAGTTTCATGATTTTAATTTTATAAGTGATGGAGGAATTATTTGTAATAGACATTTGATAGTGATAACAATTTCATCCAGATGTTATACTGTATCTTAAATTTTTAAGCTGTCAAAATGTTGCTGTTCATATGGGACAAACTATCTGTCATCACATATTCTGTACAGGTTGTACCTCTCTAGTTCGGCATTCTGTGGTCCGGAAACTCCCGTGGTCCGGAACGATTTTAGTTTGTCCAATAGGTACTGTAGATAGGCAGTTTTTTTTTTTTTTAATTACTTATCTGAATTATTATTATTATTACAGGAGTATTAAATTTTGGCCCCTCAGGCCCCAATGTGGGTCAGTGACCTATGCCCGGGTGGGCTAATCTCCGAAAAAAAACAACAAAGCCGCAGAAAATTAAGGTTTGTTTACATCCGGCAGTTCGGCTGCTCTCTCTCTCTCTCTCTGTGTGTGTGCTTGTCTGTACAGAGTACAACATTTAACCCTTCTATATATATATATATATATATATATATATATATATATATATATATATATATATATATATGCAGTAAATAAGTGTTGCTTTCATATTCTTATGTAGAGTAATGACGATATGTTTTCACATGTGCACACTTACATACGCGCAGTCTCACTTTTTTCTTTACCATTAATGGTTAGTTACTTATATTGTTCCATTTATTAACATTAAATAACATTACTTCAAACAACCATATTAATTTTTTTACATTAATTTTACTACAGCTACAATCAGGGTCTTATTTTCTTCAGTTTTATATGTAGAACCAATCAGTCACTGGTTTTGTACGCATTAACGAAAACAATGCCGGCAGCCGTCTCGTCTCCTCATGTGTTTTAATATTCCACGTATTATTAATGAATTGTATTGTTCAGTTTGCACACACAAACATTAATTCAATAAAAAAATTCAGAAACATTAATTAAAATATGCAGTCAACCCTCACTTTACGCGGTTAATGTAACCCACAGGGTACCGCGGAAAGTGAGAAACGCGTAAAGTGAATAACATAACATATGGGATTAATTGAAATAGAGACCGGGCAGACCCCCAAACTCCACTTTTTGACGACACACAACTATGTTGTAGTAAAAATATTATCTTAACTTTATGATGGTATGCACATATAATTAATAATTAAGAGAAATATCAATAATATAAGGTTTTTTAACACTTACATTAGTAGAA